CACACACACACACACACACACACACACACACACACACACACACACACACACACACACACACACACTTATACACACACACGCACACATATTGTGCATGACGTCTCTGATCCACTGGTGAAAAGACTCTTTGATTCTCTCCTCTTTCATCTACAAAGTGTATGAGGAAAAGTGGTTAAGATTGCACGACTGTCCGTGTTTTTATGTTTTGTGTTGTGTTTATTATTTTACTTTATGTTAACTAACTGTAGCTGTTGTGACGTCCCTAAATAAATCAGGATGTATTGTTTGTATGTATATATATACTGTATATGTACATACAATTTTCCCCCCTCCCATGATAATAAATAAACAAAACCCAACATTTTCAGATACATGCTTTACATTGGATAGTGTTTGTTAACATGGAATCGTCTCTGTCTAATGAAAAGTATGTATCAGCACATTTTGTGATTTTTTTTTCCGCCTTTTAAAAAAAATCCTAAACAAAAGGATGAAACCCAAGACTTCAGTGATCCATAGTTTACATTGGACAGTGAGGATATACTGAATGTGTTTTGCAATGCCACATCTTCAGGATCTCAGTCAGACTGCAAGCACATTTTTCAGTAATTTAAATTGAAATCCTATTCACTTGTTCAGGGGTGTGGTTATAACTTGCAATGCTTCTGTAGAATCTTCCTGGGTTTTGTTCTGTTCACTGCCAAAGCTCAGAGCTGTTCATTTATTGATTTTGTGATTTCACAGGTTGTTTTTGTGCACTTGTTTTATCGTCCCTTTGAGTGAGCGAATTAACTTGCGCATCCTGTTTCCCAACTCTCTCCTCTTGTGGGCAACAAGTCCAACCAGTCTGCTTCTCATCGCATCTTGTCCTTATTTATGTACTCCTTTCAGAAGCTGTGAGATGCACATCTAAGCGATCACAACACTCTGCCACTACTACCTAACTCTGCTCTTCCGTTGCCATGGATACAGCCCCCCCTCTAGTGGGCATGGAAGGTTGGGGCTGTAGCAGAGAGAGGAGATGTGGCAGCTCTGCGTCATACCAGTGCAGGGAAGAGAAGCCCCCCCCCTCCTTCTTTCCCCGTCTCCCCCACCTCCTCCTTCCTTCCCTCATTCCCTCCTTCCTTCTCATCATCCAATTTGCACGTTGCTTGATTTGCCCCCCCCCCTCCAATTGTGTCCTATATCAGCATCTGCTCATCACACATTCCCCCTCCAACATCTCACTCTCTCTTTCTTTGCCTGCTGGCTCAGCTCGGCTTCCGCTGTGTTGGCTGACCCAGGCGGACTTTTACTGGCGAGCGTGGGCGAAAGAAAAGAAAGGTAAGCACTGAAATGGAGTGCGGTGATGAAGGAGAGCGGCGCATATAAGCAGTGATTGCGTGAATGACGGCATCAGGAGCCTTCACTTTGGATTTTTGAGGGAAAGAGCCATGTGAGTGTGTGCTGTCACAACATTAGAGGTGTGCGTTCAAGCAGAATGTGTGCCTAAGTAGAACAGGCACGGTGATTATGGGAACTTTTTCATTCTAAGAGCAGTGCTTGTTGCTGACATGTCGACACAGTGCGGGCATCTGGATGTGGAAAAGGGGGGAGAGGGAGAGAGAGCATGCCTAGCAGCGCACAGCAGCTTTAATTGCTCCTGGAAGCCATTTTTTGAATCACACCGACACAACCTCTCCGTCTGCCTTTGTTTGATCCCAACCTTGAAACTCCACGCATTAAAAAAAAAAAAAAAAACCAACAACATGTGGCGGCAGGTAGTGTTTGTGACAGGAAGAAAGGGGGCCCGCGGGGACGTTCATTGTGTCTGGGTCCCGGGAACATTGTCTGACATGGTGTATGACATTTAACTGTGATGCGGCTGCCTGTTCACTGGTGTGTAGCCAATGTTGCTTGTCAGCTCTGGTTCCTGGGCTGACTCATATTTGCTCTTTGTTGCTGTATCGCCTCTGAGTGACAGGCGTCGGTGATGAGAGCTTTTGTCAAAGCTGCACGTTGGCGTCTTCAGTTGCGGTGGGAGATCCATATGTGGGGACTTTTTTTTTTTTTTTGTCTGAGAGCCAAGTTGTCAGATGGTATATCACAGCAGAGGCAGTCAGTAGTCAAGATCAGCCTTGACATGATCAAGCGTGCAAGTGCAAGACTCGCTTGTGCGCTTGTGGAAGTCAAGTGTGCCTTTTTGTGAGGATTTGTTAATGACAAAGCTTGGTCAGAAACAATGACACCACCGGGAATCTTTGACTTGTTTTGTGAACAAGGGAGAAAAGACAGATCTTAAAACTGATTAAGATTCTCAGTCGGCCCTTGACTGTATGGTTTGTGGAAATTACCTCATCTAAACAGTTTTATATTTGGACCTTTATTTTTTTCATCCAATGTGCATCCAATGCTCTGTTTTGGGAGACTTAGGCAAATCATTCCAACATTTGTGCCACTGTTCCGTGGCATCTCATCATCTCGGCTAACCTCTCAGGTCAGTTTTCTACTTCAAAACAGTAGACACGGAAACAGCAAAAACTGTGCCACGCCAAATGCTTTAGAATCATTTTTATTGGACATGTTGAAAGAAAGTAGAACTTTACCACTGGTATGTGGAAACACTTGAGTACACAGGTGTCAAACTCAAGACCTGGGGGCAAGATGCAACCCATGGCATAATTTTATGTTACCCGTGAAGGCAAATCCCGTGTCGACTTCATGCTGCTTCTTGCTGAAATACGAAAACTTCAAGACAATACCAGTGAGATATTGAGATAATATGTTCTACAATTCATTTTTCTTATGGGATGAATTTTGAAGTTAACTGTTTAAAAATAAGATAGTGGCAAGGGGAAGCAATCTGTTGAAATAAGAATCATTTGCCATTTTAGGAAACATATTCAAAAGCAGTCTCAACATACAGTACAATACAACAAACAACAACAAAAAACATGCCCACATTTGGAAAAGGCCAATAAAACGACGAATTACTGTAGAGAATAAATCATCAAAAGGAATTAAAATACATTTAGTTTTAAAACACTTGACATAAAAATAGAAGCAAGATACAGTGCCAGACAATCGGCACATCATTTGACTGTAGTGAGAAGTCGTGCTAAAAAAATTTAAATCAACAACAATGGAGGTGTCACTCCCGTGTCTACTTCTCAAAAGTGTCTGTTCACCACCGAAAGGCTCTGCAGCAAAGTGGAGACTATGGAGTATCGCATCCAATGCAAAAGCAACAGGCTTAATTAATCTTTTCTAGTTGGTGTGTATCCTCAGTTCTTGCGTTGAAGATTTAGAAATAGCCGCTCGGTACCTTTTTTTGTTAGTGGCAAAGCGTCATTGGTGTGGTGAGCCGAGTGGTATCAGTTAGTGCAAAAGGGTTATCCGTGGCTTTTTCCTGGCTCTGTACGCCGTCTCAATTCATTTAATAGTTTTGTGTAATCTGAAAACAAGCAATGTTGAATGCATTAGTAACGGAAACACGGGC